GCATGGTGATGGCCTCGTGCGCATAGAAGGGAATCAGCGTCAGGTTGAGCAGCTCCCGCTGGCCAGGCAGTCGCAGGCGCTCCACAATGGGCTTCGGCCGGAACATGGGCGTCGAGGGCGGGTAGAGCACCTGCCCGGGCACCGGCTCCTGCATGGGGTAGCGCTGCGCGCTCAGCATCGTGTTGAGCAGCAGCTCCCCGCGGGTGCCATTGTAGACGAAGATCGGGTAGCTGGCGGTGGGCAGGGCGTTGTCCCCGGGCGCGCTGTCGAAAATGGGCAGCGACTGCGGCTGGCGGCGTCGCTGCGCCGGCTTCGGCTTCGGCTTCGGCTTCGGCCGGGTGGTGGTTTGGCCCAGCTGCTGCACGTAGTGGCTCGGCAGCTGGACGCGATGCGGCAGCACATAGTGGCGCTGCTCCAGCGAGGGTGTGGCCAGCGGCGGCGCCACCAGGCGCTCCACCTCCTCGTCCGAGTCGGGCCGGACGCGTATTGTGATCGCTGTGGGCAGATGCTGGCGCTGCTGTCGTCGCTGGACTCGCTGGGCTCGCTGGGCGCGCTGGGCGCGTCGCATTATTGTGGCGCGCGTGCTGGTGGCATAGTCCGAGTCCTGCCTGGCCTGGCGCCTCATCAGCTCGTCCTCGAGTATCCAGAGCGGCCGCTGCGCCGCGTCCAAGTAGCTGTGGGCCAGCGCGTAGGGCGTGCGCGCCGGCGTCCACGCCCAGTTGCCGGGCAGGGCGCTCAGCAGGCGCAGCAGCGCCAAAGTCCAACTGCTCAGCGCCTCCATTTGGGTGTGCGTCTTCCAATTAAATGGCCAAGAGGGCAGCCCCAGCTGCAGTCTTTATATGCGCCAACGGCTCGCCGAGTGCTTTCGCTCGAGGGCTTTGCAAATAATCGTGCGACTTGTTTTCGGCGGGTCAGCGCAGTTCAGTGGGTTGTGCCACATCAAGTCCGCTCGAGTGGCCCGAGTGGTTCTAGGCCATATTTACGCCGCACTCAACATTGTCGCATGGCCAAGTTCAACAAAGCTGAACTTGTTTCATTGCAGATCTTCTATGGGAGCTAGGCCCTCAGTTTGCCCCCTTGCCCCCGCCCCGTGCAGCTTTAAGTGGATAATCAGTCGAAAGTCGAAAGCCTAATGGCAATCGAGTCTTAAATCGAAAATTTCACCCATTTTCCACTATTGTGCGTGAAATTGGGCCTAAACTCGTTTCACGGCCCACTAAGGGTCGGCTTCGAATAGATTGGATTGGATACCAATTTCCTAGCTAATCTTCAAGGTTCTGTTCTGATGGCTGCTAATGGCGTCTCTACTAGCCGCAGACTGCAGCTGTTGCCCCAGTCTGGCCAAAATAGTGGACAGCAAAGAGGGCGTGGGGGAGGCAGGAGGCAGGAGGCAGGGGGTGAGGAAAGTCTTCCATATGGACAGCTGTCAAAACGGACATTAATCAAAACACTCTAACTGATTTGGTCTCTGGCGTTACGGAATGCTTCGACATGCAACAATATTTTGGATGCATCGCTTGACGTTCGTCGATCAAAACATGGCAGCCGATTCTGATGGGAATCCAGCTATGTTTAGGCCAACAAAGTCTCTGTGTGTGTGCGCATGTGTGTGTGTGTGCGTGTGTGCTTAGTTCTGGGTCTTTTGTTTCACATGTGGGGCTCTACGGCTCTACATGTGTTTCTAGTGCACGGTGTTTGGAAAAACAATTTGGGCAACCTACAAGTATTTCCCAAGCAAGAACGAGAACGAGAACGAGAACAAGAACGAGGGCATGAACGAGAGCGAGAGCGAGAGCGAGAGCGAGAGAGGGTGGCCGAGAAAACTGACAAACTGAACATGACCACAGCCGAGTGGAACAAGTGGAACGGCCCCGCCAAAATGGGGTTAATAGCCTTTGACAGGCAATTGGATGGACCGCGGGCGGTGCGGTGCGGTGCAGTGCGGTGCGGCAATCGTGAGTTCTCACTTTTGGCAGGGGCTAAGAAAATGGAAAATGAGTATGGAAAAATGATTTATTAGCCTGTATCTGTGGCTTTGATCGATCAATCGGCGCTATCTGCTGGTGCCTGCTCTTGTTCTCCATTCCATTATATGCCTGTTCCGCCAGCTAATTACAAAAATAAAATCATTTTCCCCGATTGCCTGAGATCTCAGATCTCAGACCTCAGAAGTCCGACTGCAGCGACGGCTGTGTGAACGGATTGAGAACGATTTTCAAAGTATATCCATTCATTCATATCGATTATTAAGTGCTACGTTTAGGTGGTAATTTATGGCTGCGATATTATATCATTTCGTTTGGGATCTCTCTCTCTCTCTCTCTCTTTCCCTGTCTCTCGGCCGATCTCTCCTTCTCTCTGGCTGTCTGATCCAATTGCGTGACTTTACAGCATAATTAGATTGAATTGGAGGGCATTTGCCAGGGCCTTATGAGCTTTTAATGGTCTCTAATGCATTTTAAATTCGCTTAAGCGCATTGATACTATTATCCAATGCTCCGATGTATCGGCTAGGGGAACTTCTCTCTTCTTTTCTGAAATTCCACACTAACTCTTCGAGCTATCGCACACGCTAACTCGTGCCCATAATTAACAGCTAGAAATATTTGGACAGACTTAAGACAAACGCCAGCACACACACACACACAGACACATACACAAGAGAGGAATGTTGGACTGGCATGTAAATCATAGGGTATCTTGGGTAGCGGGGGCTCAGTCAAGCGCATCGCATTTTTGACACCAACAATTTGTTCCGTCAATTTGTTATAGAATGCATTTTATGCAAATGAAATCTGTCCTCAATCTATCTCACAGAAACTTCACTTAGCGACCTGTGTGTGTGTGTGTGTGTGTGTGTGTGTGGGTTTACCTGTGCGTCATATTTTGTGGCATTCTTCTTCTTCTGGCTGTGCTGCGTGGCATCAACTGATTGATGCGCCGCATAGAGCGCACTATGAATAATAAACAATAAACTAATCAAGAGCCAAAGCGAAGATCACCAGATGCATCTGTCAGATACACTTGCGACCTGACAGATACAGATACAGATAGAGATACAGATACAAATGCCGATGCACAGACAGCTTAAGCTAAAGACACGAGACAAGAGACAAAATGTCAAATGATTCGTTTGTCTTATGTCTTATATCGTAAGTGTGGACACAATCGTATGTAAAGAGATAAATACATGAACAAATACATATATGTATGTGTGTATGGACACTCATTTGACGTGGGTTGGCTGGGAATGCCGCCTAATGACATTTGCCAGAGAGCTAAGCTATCTAATGGTCAGGTGTGAAATCTCCAGATGTTTCAGATATCTAGAAAACTAACAAGAAGTAAAATTCCCTTTGTGGATCGTATGCAAGGAGTTAAATACATATCTAGATGGAATTTGATATTTTGATATTATTAAGCATACTTTTATTAATTTTTAGCCGATAAAGCTTAACAATTTGAAGAGTTTTAGATTTGAACTTTGGATCATAAAACTTGTATTCTTAATGTTTGAACTTACGGTTTCATAAATAGCAATGCATTAGATAAAAATGAGATAGAGACACACAGAGAGAGAGAGAGAGAGAGAGAGAGAGAGAGAGAGATAGAGAGAGAGAGAGAGAGAGAAGAGAAAGAAAGAAGGAGGAGACAAGAGAGATAGAGAGAGAGAGAGAGAGAGAGAGAGAAAGACAAGAGAAAGAAAGAAGGAGGTAAGACAAGAGAGATAGAGAGAGAGAGAGAGAGAGAGAGAGAGAGAATGACACACACAGAGAGAGAGAGAGAGAGAGAGACACACACACACAGAGAGAGAGAGAGAAAGACAAGAGAAAGAAAGAAGGAGGTAAGATAAGAAGTCAAGAGAGAGAGAGAGAGAGAGAGAGAGAGAGAGAGAGAGAAAGAGGCTGAATGATGAAAGAGAAATAAAGTAGTACATTTACTTCTTTAGCAAAATAAAGAGGGGATGAGAGCAAAGCAGAGGGAGGGAAAGGGAAAGAGAGTATAGAAAGAGAGCGAGAGGGAAACGAAAAGGAATCTATCGCTTCTTCTAAGAAGAAAAGGAAACACCGAATGAGAGACAAATATAAAGAAAGAAGCAGAGAAAGAGAAAAAAAGAGTGAGAGAGGGAGGGAGAGAGAGAGAGAGAGAGAGAAGAGAGGGAGATCGAGAAATTCGAGAATGTAACAGTCTAGAGACAAAGATATAGAGATTGGGATAGAGGAGACAAAAATTGCGAAAGGAAAAACGCCAGGGAGAAGAAATAAGGTGGATGGATGAGAGAAAGACAGGCAGACATGTATACATGTGTATGTTTCTAGATATATCTATACGATGCATATCTTATCAGCCAACATGTAATCGCTTTGTTCGCATCTAAATAATTACCCTAGTCCCGCACACAATCTGTCATATTTATTGGGCTCTTCAGCTTGTTGCTAGCGACCATCGAAACGTAATCTTATCTCCGTGGCTGTGGCCATATCAATCAGTATATTAATTACAAGTCAATCCATTATACAGCTCGCGCTATCAGCTGGAAGTCCACTCACAGTGGAAGAGAAAAGTAACCGAAAATAACAGAAAACAAATCCAATAACAGCAGAAAGAGTTGACACTTGAGATGACGTCGCCTCGTCGCAGATCGGCGAAAGCTTTTCGTGCGATCCGAGCGCAGTTAATTGTTATTGGACAGCGACAAGCGAGCAGCGACCAGAAGCTCTTCCAGCACGCGTCGTCGCGACGACTGCGTCACTGAAAGCTCGGCCAGTGGTTCGTCTCGCCTCGTTGCCCGACGCGACGCTTCGTCGTCCGATTGTCCGACTCCAGCCCTGGGAACATTCAGCGTTCCATTTGCCTGCCTGAGCTCAGTGCGAATTCTGTTGTCGAGGCGCGCGGCGGCTAAACGTTGAGTCCATTGCTTGCTCTCACTCTCTGTCTCTCTCTCTCTCTCTCTCACTCAGTCAATCGCTGCCGCTCTTGCTGTATCGTCATTGCGATTTTTGTTGTTGCCGTTTGTTTTTTTTTTTACTTTTTTGTTTTCATTGCCCAACTTGTTGTGACTATCGGAGCGGGCATCTAGCACCAAAGTGAGCATTGCTTCAGATATTTCGGCTTCAAAATTGTTTTTGTTTAGACTCTAAAAATTTTCTGCTCATTGTTGTTTTCTTTTAGAATAAGAAAGAAAAAATATAAGTAAAAATAATAGCAGGGCTGAACATTTGCGCATAAGCATAGGCATAAATATATAAGTGCGCCTCTAATGTATATATGGGTATCTAACAAATAAACCTCTGGTCTCAGTCTGCATTCCACAAACCACACCGAAGCACCGAGCAAGAAGAAAGCAACGAGATGAGCACCCAAAATGATCATATACCCACCATATCGCCGGGTCGCAAAGCCGTCTTCCAAGTGCTGTCAGGTGGTTCGGCCGGTTTTCTGGAAGTGTGCATCATGCAGCCGCTGGACGTGGTCAAGACTCGCATGCAGATTCAGGCACGGCCCGCCGCCATCGCCGCCTCACACACGGCTGAGGTGAGTTCAAGCCATCATCAGCTGCCTATTCCAATGTAAACAAAGGTGTTTTTGCCAAAGGTAATCGAAGTATGCGTAGAGAGTTCAAGGGGCTCATACATTCAGCGTGTGTGTTTGCCTGAGTGTGTGTGTGTTTGAGTGTATGTGTAGCATAAGCAAAACGCCGATAAGAACCAGACAGCTTTTATGACCATGCCCAAAAAAGCGACCTTAACACGCACCAATCTCACTGCCCAACTGATAGGGTACATGTGCAAGTGTGTGTGTATGTGTGGGAGGTCGTGTCAAGGTCATCAGAAGTGACAATCGAGCAAATATAGCCAGCTATTCCATGGTCTGTGGGCTTGCACAGCTGACGATTGCTTCGATATTAACAAATACACACACACATGCATATACATACATACATACATACATGTGCTTATGTAGTGCTTATCGATTGGGCGCTGCTTTCAAAATTTTCGACTTATCCCTCTCTCTCTCTCTCCGTCTCTCTATCTGTCGCAACGCGTGCCGCACTTTGTTTCTAAGCGAAATGAAACAACCCGAAATGACCTATACAATTAACTATATCTTATCGGCTTATGTTTGAGATCTTATTACTGGTCTTAGCTTTTGAGAATGCACTTGGCGTTGCTCTAAAGATAACAGGGCATATATCAATATATCATCCACTCTTCTACTGTTATAATGCCTATACTAATGCCGGCTATATACTGAATAATGCGAGGAATAAATGAGAACAAAGAGAGATCTGGTTATGCCTATAGATATATGCATATGTATGTCCATACATATATATACAAGTATATATAATAAGCACACGGAAACTCTTTTCTTTATACACATGTATATAAATATTACTATATATATACATACATATATACATAGCTGGGAAATAATTAATAGCATCACTATGCAATTCTTTGAGCACATTGCTTATGCGTGGCGCTATTTCATTTTTCTCAACAGTATGCACAGCTATACACATATATCAATATATATACATATATGTATGTATTGTATTCATATGCGTGTCTAGTTTTCGAAAATTTTCTGTGTTTAACCAATTTGTTAGCACATTATTAAAATAGATGCAAAAAAGTAATTCAAATTACACGCACATATACACTCGCACTCCCTCACACACACACACGCACACGCACACAAAGTTAAGTCTGCTAATAAACTAATTCAGAAAGCTTACAGTGTTTTTTGTTTGTTTTCTTCCGTTTCATTATGATATTCGCGTGCCGTGAGCAATGGAAAATAGAACATTTTAGCTGTTTTGAAGCCAAATGCCGCTAAATGTAAAATTATGTTTGATTGATACAGTAGATCTGAGGTTAAATAAATTTCAATCAGACATAATACTAGGTGGGTCCAAAGCAATCACCCTATTTCAAATGCTACCAAATGAAAGAGAAATAAAAATATAGAGAGAGAGATTGGGATATATGGATAGAGACATTGCCTTTACCCCAGCCTGTATAATATAAACTTTAATAATAAATAGATAGAAGAGAGTTATTAGGGCTTAACAATTAACATTCACCCACAATATTCTAGAAGCTTAACTCTATCAGTTAATATTGAGAGTCTGACGATAGTTCGTAATCAAAATAAATGAATTGCTCCATGCAGGTGCACTACTCTGGCGTGTTTGACTGCTTCGCCAAGATGTACCGTCAGGAGGGCATCGCGTCGTATTGGAAGGGTCTGATGCCTCCAATACTGGCCGAGACCCCAAAGCGGGCCATCAAGTTCCTGGTATTCGAGCAGACGAAGACGTTCTTTCAGTTTGGCTCGCCGACACCGACTCCGCTGACCTTCGCCCTGGCGGGTCTGACGGCCGGCACCTTGGAGGCGATCGCCGTCAATCCGTTCGAGGTGGTGAAGGTGTCGCAGCAGGCGAACCGCCAGAAGAAGCTGATCGGCACCTTTGATGTGGCGCGGGACATTGTCCGGAACGATGGCATCGGACTGCGAGGCCTCAACAAGGGCCTGACCGCCACAATGGGCCGCAATGGCATCTTCAACATGGTCTACTTCGGCTTCTATCACAGCGTCAAGAACCTGGTGCCCGAGAGCAAGGACAACACCTGGGAGTTCATACGCAAGGTGACCATCGGCTTTCTGGCCGGCACCCTGGCCTGCTTCGTCAACATACCGTTCGACGTGGCCAAGTCGCGCATCCAAGGGCCCCAGCCGGTGCCCACGGAGATCAAGTACCGCGGCACTCTCAGCTCCATTGTCACCGTCTACAGGGAGGAGGGCTTCCGCGCCCTCTACAAGGGCCTGGTGCCCAAGATCATGCGCCTGGGTCCCGGCGGAGCCATAATGCTCCTCGTCTTCGACTACACATACGAATACCTGTTGTTGAATCACTCATAGTCCATCACTTCTAAACCTAGCATTAAGAAACTGTTGGATTTTTTTTAGACATGCCGAAAACCCCTAAAAATCTAGTTAATAATTTAACACGCGTACGCAAATGACACAGCTTGGCAAACAGATGTAAATACATTATTATATATATTTGAAACCGTTTTGATGTACTTGTTTCCTTAATTGAGCCTAAGACCTATAGGGATTTGCAGATACTACTGCCCTACTGAAGGAGATGATGTGAAAGGAGCAGAAACAAACTAGCAAAGAAATAAGGGGAGACAGAGGACGTGGGTGTCTATATGATATACGATATCTAAATGACAAATAAAGTTAATGTAGGCATGGAAACTTTTCTTGGATACCGAAACTCCTAAATGTCCCAAAAAATCTTCTTAGCTTTCCATTCGAATTAGTTTCTGAGCCAAAGTAAGTACCCAAACCAAGTCTGATTCTCGGTTACTTAACATTAAATTCAGATAGTCGTGAAGGTTTCTACTCGAACAAGCAACGCCGAAAAATATGCTAAAACATTTGAAGGAATACTCCAGAAATAGTATACTTTCCGAGAGTTGCAACACACTTTAAGTGCTTTATGAATTCTATACCTAAAAGCCTTACAGATATATGCAGATGAGTTACTTAGTATAGCTATATACAGAAAACACAGATCAGAGGCCAATAAGTCCGTTAGTAATTCGTAAGCCTACAAATTATATATATACTCTGCGACCATACAATTGTAGATGTAGTACTTAGTATATCCATAAGCATACACAGATCAAAGGTAAATAAAACCATCTGTTTTTAAGTGTTAGAGCCTAAAACCAGTCATATGTCCATCAATCGATGATTCGTAAGCATACACTCTACGGCAATAGAAATATTGTTGGTAAATCCGATACCTATACCGTCTGCTCCCCGACAATGCAATTATAGATGATGTAGTTGGTATGCCTACAACCAAAACAGATCCACGGCAAGTAAAAGCAATAATTTTACATTTAGTCTATGAACATCTTTTGTAGTATTTATATATAAGTAAATCGATTCGCATAGTCTAGGTCACAAGATAAATGTGGGTACATATAACATATACTTGGATGTAATTTCTCTCGATTCTGGTATATATGTAGATGTGTGTATATATTTGGATGCTTGTCGGATATATGTATCTTGTTGCGATTTCCATATAATTAGTCGGAACATTTAACATTGTGTAGCTGCAACAGAGATCAAGATATCTATATATATAT